GCACGTTTGTTCATCTGCACAGATCTGGCTTGCGCAAGCCAGATCGTTCAGATGGCTTGAGCGTGTAAATGGGCTTATAGTTAGTTTAGTTTGGCACTGGGTGGCCTAGCCGAATAGCGATGCTTTGGGTGGATAGCCGGGCGATCAGCTAGCACATTAACCAAACCCGTTCATTCGATCGAAATTCTTCAGTTCTCAGTCAATCAGTTGCTTTTGATGAATCACTATAATCCCGGTGGGACACCCGGTAGAGAAGTCGGCTGGCGGCAAAACGCTTTTTCAAATTTTCACTCCATTTCTGATTTCTGTTGACAAGACGGCAAAAAGGCGATTAGTCGACTGAAAACCGCAGGATTTCAACAATTCTAAACCGAGAAACCTACAGGAGAAACGGGATTGATGCCATTTAAGTTTCGATCATAAGCCGGGGGTGATTTGTGGCGTGTACCGTGTAACAGAGTCGTTCGGGGTGTTTCAGAGGGTGTACAGCGTGCAACTGGATCCCGGTTACTTCTACGAGCCCCACTGGGGCTCCCAGGCGCCGCCTAGCGCCACCTTTAGCATTAACAGTCACGTTTACGGTAACGGCGCCCACCGTCAGCAAAGAGGCATGTGGTAGATGCGCGTTTTGGCCCTGGTGGGGTGAGTTCGACCGAAAGCACTTCGCAGTTTAAACACAAATCGATTTCTCTTAGTTCACTCAGCCACCATCCAAGGCTTTTAACGCACTAGCAGGCAAATTGGGTCAAAAATGGACTTTTCACACGGAAAATGCGTGGGGAGTGCCCGTGGGGGTGGTACCAATCTAGCGGTAAAGTTAGATATCGCTTTAATGCTTCCTGATAGGATCGATCTCAATCCAGGCATTCGCTACTGCAATAGATATTATAAGCAGGGGCGGATCCAGCTTTAAAGTCAGGGGGGGTTATGTAGAAAAAGTACAGTCTTCTGTTATCTATGAAATTAGAAAAATGATCGTAGTTTTGTGCATTATGCAAGGGTGGCGCAAGATTATTGCAAAATTTCATGTTTTCCGTCCCAATTTTGCTCATTTCTCGGAGGCAAAATGAGCAAGAACGCTCATTTGTACATCATTCTAGAGAGAAGTAAATGGCCTTTTTAGAAAGTGAACCATGG